TTTGTCCTCAGGCACCTCGACCCCTTCAGAGGGGAGTCTAGCCAGGCCCCGGAAAGAGGGTGCCTGCTCTCTGCTTGTGCAGTGACAGGGCATGGCAGAGCTGGTCCTCGAACTTCCACCTAAGCGACCTCCCCACCTCCACACCCGGGCAGCTTCCCTAACTGGCCGTGGCGGTTCTCAGCGGGACTCTGGTTTGTGATACTGTGGGCCTGCCGCCCATCTGCTCTGGGTCAAGCCACTCTGTCAGTGGAACCAGAGGCATGTGAGGTGTGGGCCGGGCCTGGCTGGTGAGATGAGACCCTTGAGCACATGGAGAGGGGACAGTAGAAGCTTCCCAGGATGCGGCAGTGCCGGGCTCTCCGGGTGTGACCTGGTCTCTGTAGACCAGTTCATGAGGAGTCCTGGGAGGACCAGCTGGAGCAGGAGCCCTGCTGAAGGGTAAACAGGCACTGGATGGGCAGAGGAAGGGCATGTAACTAAAAGTTTCTGTGACCCGATCATACAGGCAATGGGGAGCCATTGATAGTTCTCGAGCTGGGGAGAGGCTTAATCAGAAATTGGACTTTAGACTCTTCAACCTGGTAGACGCCAGGTAGATGAGATTGGAGGTCACACTACTTTGGTGTGACTTTATCTTAACTCAGTTTCCAAATCAGGTCACATTTGGGGGTCCTGGGGTTAGGACTCCAATATGAAGATTTAGGGGAACACAGTCAACCCATCACACTGTACCAGAGGACTTGTTTCCTTGGCCTCCTGTCTGCCTCCTCCACTCACTTTGCGGAGCCCCCTCAGCAGGCCTTTCCAGTGGTCAGTGCTGGGCTCATGGACACAGGGCAATTGCAGCCTTAAACAGAAGCCAGGGAAGCCAACCTCCAGTGACTCTCCGGGTCCCCGGGGGGTCTCCCTTCACCCACCTTGGGAGGAGAAGCACCCGCACCCTTTTCTCTCGGAACTGGAACATTGAAAGGGAAGCACCCAGCAAGGGCCCTTTGCCTGGGCACCCCAGCTCCAAGCCCCCTTAGGCTGTACCTCCGCTGAGCTCTCCCTCCCCTCCCTGCCTCTCTTGCAGCGTTTCGACCTCCATCCCAGACCTGGAAGACTGTGACTCACCCAAAAAAGCAGTGTCAGGAGACATCCAAGGAAGCGTCTCCTCATTGGCCTTGGGAGACAAGATGGAAGAGTCTTCCCTTAAAGCTGAGAAGTAGGTGGCCACCCCGACCTGGGACTCCCTCCTGTGGTCGGCAGAATGGGTGTGGCTCACAGCCAGGCCCCTGGCTCTGCCACAGACCACAGAGGCCACGTGGGGTAAGTGGCCTTGGGGGAAGTCACCTCCCCCGGGCAGGGGTCCTCCAGTGATCCCAGACGGCTCCCCGTTTTATCAACACACGGTCTAGTTGGGCATCCAGGCTGCTCCCTAGAGCTGCTGGCAGTGGTCTAGATGGTGGAATTGGAGACCTTTTGTAGACTTTGCTGCGAAGCCCAGCGGCCTGGACCCATCGGTCTGAGAAGGGTGGAGGCTGCCCTCTGCCTCCCTGCAAGAAATTTCCCAGACCTGTCAAAAGTCCACTGCGCTGGCCTTGGTAGCTCGGAAGTGAATCATGTTCTGCAAGAGTGTAAAAATCACAAATTTCTCACAAAGATAGAAAAGCAAAATTGTGGGCACCTGGAAAGGTCACCAGTGCCTCCAGGACCCCCAGGTTGGAGCAACGCCCAGAGGCTTCGGCTGGACAGGCAGAGGGGCCCGCCCTTCTCGGCCCAGCCAGGGAGGGCTGTGGACGGCATCAGACCAGCCCCCTCCACCCATTTCCCAGCATCTGCTTCTCTCTGTTTTGATTTTTAGAATGCAGCAGCCTGAAGTGGACCTGCATCTTCTCAGCAAAGCCAGGAACAGCAATAAGAAAGCTCCCTGGAAAAAACAGGCCTCCAAGAAGTGATGCCGCCCCCTCGGCCGGCCCGAGCTCTGGCCTGGATGCAGCCCCTTCTGTGCGCCCCCCGGTCTCCTGCCTCTTCTCTGAGCTCTGCCAAATAAATACGCCTGCCTCCAGCGTCTGGGTGAGGCTGTGGTCTAGGCTGGCCCCTACAAGACCAGAGGCTCCCGACAATCCTGTTCCAGGCCGAGGCCTCGGAAATGTGGTTCCTTCAACCCGGAGCTTCCTCTGTGGCCGCTGAAGTCAGTCTGAGAATGCCCCACTGCCAAGGAAGTGAAGGTCTCCAGGGGGGCAAGCCAGTGACACACTAGCTCTGGTGAGGTCCCGGATGTGCCCTCCCTCCCTTGGCTGGGTGCGGAAAGGCTCGGATTGCGGTCCAGGAGGAGAACAGGGTGAGTGGGCGAGGCAGGAGCAGAGAGTGCAAGAAAGCCAGGTGAGGGGAGGAAAGACAAAAGGAGAGGTGAGAGCGATGGGGAGAGAGTGTGGGGGGAGGGAGGGGGGGCATGGCGTGGGGTGGAAGGGCAGTGACAGGCCACGCCCAGGGCCCCCCGGTGGCACTGCGAGAGCCAGAGCCTCTGTGGCCCGGGTGTGCCAACATCCCTGTTGAGCCCAAACTCAGTGCCCTTTGCAGATTAGACGCCCCACCCCACCCCGAGCTGCCAGCCTGAAGAGTCCTTACTAGCATCACGGGGCCCAGAGATGGCAGCCCCCCTGGTGTGCCGACACCTCAGCGAGGCACATGTCACACCAGCTCTGGGCCCACCTGTCTGGGGTCCCAAGAGCCACTTCCCAGCTTGGCAAGGACCTCAGAGGGTCTGCCTTGCTCTGCAGGCCGGGGAGTGAGAAACTTCAGGCCCTGGTCCGTGGGCAGCGTTGGGCACACTTAACTACTTGTGCTCCCTCTGTAAACACATGCTTTTTTAACTCAAATTCTTTGATGTTTAATTTTTATCCTCTGTATCATATGAAGACCTTTTTTTGAATTATACATTTGTCCCCCTAGAAATGGATTTGAAATGATGTGCTGTGTTCTTAAGCTTGCATGCTCTGAAGGTGCTTGCCACACTGAAATGGGGTCAGAAGTGAGCTGACGTGAGCAGGGATGCCTCCCTCTGGTGGAGCACAGGGTGGGAAGGAGAAGGGGTCCCCTGGGGAGGAGGAAGGAAAGGGGAAGCCCCCTCCTTCATGGAAGCACCAGGAGAGGCTGTGCCCTCAGCAAACCAGGCGTGATGGGAGGTGTGAGATTATCTGAGAAAGTCACGACTCTTACCTGACTAGGATAATGAGATTTCCTTCAAGCTCCCTCCTGTCATCTTCTTCCTTGGCTATGGGGAGGTCCATGGCATCCTCAAGCAAAAGAGTGTGGCATAGCTCAAGTGGACATTACGGAGGTGGCAAACATGTGGTACAACAGGCTGCTGCCATTCACCCCAGGCCCTTGCAGACACCATTGATCAATCACCCAGGCCCTTGCAGGCATTATTAATCAATCAAAGCATTCTGAACCCAAGTGATGCCTAAGATTCCATCCTCAGCACAAAGGGGCAGGCAGCCACTACCAGGTAACTACCAGTCTTTACCGTGCATGGAGTAGCCCTCTCCTTTACTGGGCCTCTGTTTTTAGGACGACTTCTTGGAGGAAGTGAGGGTGGGGTTAGAGCCAGAGCCAGGAGGGTGGGCTTGGTCAGACCTTGCTGTGTGCCATGTGGGCCAGCGGGGGAGTAAGGGGTGATCTGATTCCTCACCTCCCAGGTCCTCAGGCTGACAGGGGACATGGAATGGTCAGAAGCCCCAGGGTCTCTGAGAAATAGGAGCATGCTTTCCCAATTCTTGTTCAAGTTGACCCAGTAGAAGGCCTGGGAGAGAGGAAGACTATCCACAAACAGACTCAGAGTCAAAAAAATTAAAATGAGAAGAAAACCCAGGGATCGAGGTATCCAGTCTCTCACCTTAATAGGAGGAGGACGGAGCCCTGAGAAAGGCAGGGACTGCCAGAGGCCATAGAGTCAGCACGTGGTCGCACTAGGCAAGGTCCCAGGTGCCAGATCCACTCCCCCACTTCATTCCTCTGTGTGGAGGTGGACCTGGGCCTGGGGGAGGAGGGACGAGGAGGGCAGCAAGACAGAGATCAGACTCCCATTTCTAGCAATGGTATGGATGAAATGGCCTGGGGGGAAAAACATCCTGTTAAGAAACACATAGAAATATTGTCCAGCATAAACCAAATACCCCTTTAATTGCATACTGGCACTCACAAAGTAAGGAAAATCGCCAGGGGCTGGAAAGAGGGCTTGGAAGCCCAGTGGTCAGCAAGTGCTAAAACCATAGCTGTCCTGAGGCTGTTCTGACCCCAGTGACCTGCAGCCTGGCTTTAATGGTTGTAGGGAGACGTGAAGCAAAGTCTTGGCCTGAACAAGATGCCAAGCCTTAAATAAGACCCCAGATATAAATCTGGAACCCTTGATACACATGAAACGACAAGGGGACTTGACCATCTGTCTCAGAGAAAAATATTTTGGTTGGGGATCCTGAGAATGTTTAACTCAGGTCTGCCTTCCCAGAAATTTTGGGTTTACATGTATATATATTCTGTCTATGAGGTCTGGGAAACCCAGTTCGTATCACCCCAGGATGGCTGGCAGAAGCAAACACAAACGCCCTCTAGAGACATTCACTCTCAACCGAGACCTCACAGGATTCCCACAGAGAGAATCAAGCTGAACATGAGCTCACAATCGAGAATTGTTTTAAGTAAGCCAAAGTGGATTAAAACAAACATCAAACATTAGATTAGACATCCAAGACTTTGGATATTGGAATTGTCAGATGAAATATAAAATGAATATATTTCACTGTTTAAATAAAAAGATCTGAAAATGTAAGCAAGGAACAAGATATGAAACAAAAGATGGACTGAATTTTGCTTCCAGATGTGTTGGAGTAACTGGTACTGGAGCAGTCCTCCTGACACACCAACCAGGACTAGAGAAACAAAGTGGGTTCTACAATCCCCTTGGCTTTCTGCCGGAGACACTTTCTGGACCACGGTGCACGGAAGGAGAATCCAAGCAGAATACAACAGTATTGCTGAACTGAGGAGAGAGATGAGCATTTGGGGAGCCAGTGGTAAATGGAATTTGGGTGCATGGTGTCTGAAGAGGGAGCTCTGCAGGGAGGGCTCTGGGGGTCTGCAGAGGGGACTCTTTGAATCTTGGCTGAATGCTAAACTGCATGTGTTGGGGGTGCGGCTTCATGAAGCCAGGTAATGAACTACAGAGAGCTGTGAACTGAGAGTTGGGAGATACTCAAGTTCCACCCAACTGGAAGACCTGGATCTTCCAGTGGAGACCCCAGGAAACTAGTCCTGTAGTAAAGGCTAATCTGCACACTCCCTGATAGTTTAAAAACAATCCTTGACAAAACTATAGCGACAGAAAAAGTAGAGAAGTGGTCGCCTGTGGTGGTGGGGGCGGGGTTGGTGGTGACTACAAAGGGCATGAGGGAATTTGGGAAAGTGGGGGGGTGATGAAATTATTTTATATCTTGATTATGGCAGTGGTTACCTGACTATGCATTTGTCAAAACTCATAGACATACATGCCTAAAAGAGTGAACTTTACTCTACATAAACTATATGTCAATTTAAAAATGAGAAAACAAGCCTTGAAAGGATCAAGCTGATCTTCAAGTAAATTGAACTGCCTGAAAAGAAAATCTCACCCTCTTTAAAGGAGAACAGTAAATACAAACACAGCATAACATTCAACATAACAGAACAACATAACATTCAACTTCTGGAAGGCAATTTTAAAAATTCTCTGTGTATGTGAAGAAGCAAGAAAATATGAGCTATGACCAGAAAAAAAAAATCAGTCAATAGAAACAGACTAGGAAAACATAGAAGTGATGCAGATTGCAGGCAAGGTCTTTAGAAGAGCTATTATAAAATTTAAAATTACTTAATAGAACACAATGAGAGAAACAGAAACTGCAAAAACACCTGGATGTAAAATTTGAAAAATATGCTGGGCAGAAGTAAAGGTAGATTAGAAGAATAGCTAGAGAAGAAAAGATCAGTAAACTTAAAAGACAGGGCAATATAAAATAGCCAAAGTAAAATTCAGAGGGTGAAAAAGTCTGAAAAAATGAACAGAACCTTAGTAACCAGTGAGAAAGCATTAAGTGGTCTAATATATATATTGCTTCCATATCTTGGCTGTTGTAAATAGTGCTGCTGTGAGCCCTGGGGTACAGGGGTGCTAGTGTTTTCATTTTTTCTGGACATATAACCTGGAGTGGAATTGATGAATCTTATCGTATATATACTTCTAGGTTTTTAATATATAATATATATTATATATAATTAGGGACACCAAATAAAGGGGAGAAAGATGGTTAAAAAATATTTGCGGTAACCCTGACCAACATCCTTCTGTATTTGATGCAAGAATCTCAATGAATCCCAAGCAGGATAAACACAAAGGAGACACCACCAAGGTACATCATAATCAAACTGGTGATAATTGACAATAAGAGAAATATCTTAGAATTATAAAGACTTATTATATACTGAAGAGAAAGTATGAATACTGATTTCTCATCTAAAACAGTGCAAGTACTAAAAGAAGAAAAGTCAACCTATGATTTTTATATCCAGCAAAAGTACCCTTCAAGAATGAAAGCGAAAAAAAAAAGAAAAACTTACAGTAAATGTGAATAGATTATGGATTAAATTCACCAATCAAAAAATAGGGACTCTCACATACACAAACTTGTATATGAATGTTCATAGCAGCATTATCCAAAAAGTAGAAATGACCCAAATGTCTGTGAACAGATGAATGGATAAACAAAATGCGGTATAGCTATTCAGTGAAATGTTATTTTGTCATTAAAAAAGTTAAAATACTAGTACATGCTAACATGTGGATGAACTTAAAAATCGTTACTCTTAGTGAAAGAAGCCAGACACAAAAAGCCACATATTGTATGATTCCACATATGTTAAATGTACACAACAGACAAATCTCTAGAGACAGAAAGCAGATTAGTGGTTGCCAGGGAATGGAGAAGAGGAGGGATTTAGAGAGCAGCGTGATTGCTTAAAAAGTATGGGCTTCCTTTTTGGGGTGATGAAAATGTCATGGAGTTAGTGGTATCATTGCATAACATCGTGAATCTACTGAAAGGCCCTGGATTGTACACTTTAAAGTAGTTAAAATTGTGAATTTTATCTCAGTTTTTAAAAAACATAAACCATTGTTGAGAAAAGTTAACAACCTAAATAGAAATATATATCATTTTGTGTATTGGAAAAAATATTTTTTGAAATTTATTTTTATTGAAGTATATAGAGTAGTTGGTTTACAATATTATATTTCAGGTATACAGTTAGTGAGTGATCCAGTGTTTTTACAGATCATACTCTATTAAAAATTATTACAAGATTACATCTATAATTCCCTGTCCTATACAATATATCCTTGTTGCTTATCTATTTTATACATAGTATTTTGTATCTCTTAATCCCATACCTCTAATTTGCCCTTCCCCTCCCACTCCCCATTGGTAACCACTAGTTTATATCCTGTATCTGTGAATCTGTTTCTGTTTCACATATACATTCATTTGTATTATTTTCTAGATTCCACATATAAGTGGTATCATACAGTATTTGTCTTTCTGTGATTTCACTAAGCATAATATTCTCTAGGTCCATCCATGCTGCTGCAAGTGGCAGAATTCCTTTGTTTTTTACAGCTAAATAATATTCCATTGCACATGCTTGCGTGTGTGTGTGTGTGTGTATCACATCTTCTTTATCCAGTCATCTGTTGATGGGCACTTCAGTTGCTTCTGTATCTTAGCTGTTGTAAATAGTGCTGCTGTGAACACTGGGGTACAGGGGTGTTAGTGTTTTCATTTTCTCTGGACATACAACCAGGAGTGGAGTTGATGAATCGTATGGTATACATACTTCTAGTTTTTTAAGGAACCTCCGCACTCCCCACGCTGCTTTCCATAGTGGCCGCACAAACTTACATTGCCACCAACAGTGTAGGGGTGTTCCTTTTTCTCCACATCCTCTCCAACATTTGTTGTTTGTAGTCATTTTGATGACAGCCATTCTGACAGGTGTAAGGTGATATCTCATTGTGGCTTTTATTTGAACTTCTCTAATCATAAGCAATATTGAGCATCTTTTTATGTGCCTGTTGGCCATCTTCTTTGTATATCTTCTTTGGAAAAATGTCCATTCATCACTTCTCAGCCTTTTGGCTAAGATCAAGGGTAGTATCTGTTCTTATCAGTTTAATGTCTGTTATGTCCTCTGTCTGAGGACAATATATTGGATGGATTTTTGGAGCAGGGAGGTGGAGTGGGAGCTCATTCCATCCACTCTACACATTGCCCTGATATTGCAGTACCTCCAGGAATGGTGCATCAGAAAAAAAATGTCCATTCAGATCTTCTGCCCATTTTTTGATTGAGCTTTTTGGTTTTTTGATATTGAGTTATATAAGCTGCTTGTATATTTTGGATATTAACCCCTTGTTGGTTGCATCATTTGCAAATATTTTCTTCCATTCCATTTGTTGTCTTTTCGTTTTATCAGTGGTTTCCTTTGCTGTGCAAAAGCTTTTAAGCTTAATTGGACCCACTTGTTTATTTTTGCTTTTATTTCTTTTGCCTTAGGAGACAGGTCCAAAAAAAATCGCTACAATGTGTACTAAAGAGTATTCTGCCTACGTTCTCTTCTAGGAGTTTTATGGTTATAGGTCTTTCATGTAAGGCCTTATCCGTTTTGAGTTTATGTTTGTGTGTGGTGTGAGAAAATGTCCTAATCTCATTGTTCTCCCAGCACCACTTGTTGAAGAGACTGTCTCTTCCCCACTGTATATTCTTGCATCCTGTCATAGAGTAATTGACTGTCGGTGCATTCGTTTATTTCTGGGCTCTGTATTATGTTCCATTGATCTGTGTGTCTGTTTTTGTGCCAGTACCACGCTGTTTTGATTACTCTGAGTTTGTAGTATAGTCTGAAGTCTGGGAGAGTGATACCTCCAGTTTTGCTCCTTTTTCTCAAGATTGCTTTGGCAGCTTGGGGTCTTTTGTGGTTCCATGTGAATTTTAGGATTATTTGTTCTAGTTCTCTGAGAAACATCATAGGCATTGTGATAGGGATAGCATTAAGTCTGTAGATTGCTTGGGGTAGTATGTCCGTTTTAGCAGTATGACGTCTTCCAGTCCAAGAGCACGGGATATCTTTACATTTCTTTGTATCATCTTCAGTTTTCTTCATCATTGTTTTATCGTTTTCAGAATATAGGTCTTTCACCTCCTCGGTTAAGTTTATCCCTAGGTAGTTTATTCTTTTTGGTGTGATTTTTAAATAGGATTGCTTTTTTACATTCTCTTTCTGATTGTTTATTGCTGGTATATAGAAAAGCAACAGATTTCTATGTATTAATTTGTATCTTGCAACTTTGCTGAATTCATTCATTAGTCCTAATATTTTGGGGTGGAAATGTTAGGGTTCTCTGTATAAAGTATCATGTCATCTGCAAATAGTGACAGTTTTACTTTTCTTCCAATTTGGATGCCCTTTATTTCCTTTTCCTGTCAGATTTCTGTGGACTTCCATGCTATGTTAAATGAAAGTGTGAGAGTGAGCATCCTTGTCTTTTTCCTGGATTTAGAGGAGAAACTTTTAGTTTTTCACCACTGAGTGTATAGTATGAGTGGATTGTCATAAATGGCCTTTATTATATTGAAATATATTCCCTCTATACCCACTTTGATGAGAGTTTTTGTCATGTATGGGTGTTGTATTTTGTCAGAATGCTTTTTCTGCATCTGTGGAGATGATCATATGATTTTTATCCTTCCTTTTGTTAATGAGTGTATCACGTTGATTGATTTGCCAATGTTGAACTATCCTTGTGTCCCTAGAATAAATCCAACTTGATCATGGTGTATGATCCTTTTTATATATTGTTGGATTTGGTCTGCTAATATTTTGTTGAATATTATATTCATCAAAAATATTGGCCTGTAATTTTATTTTTTGTAGTATCTATGTCTGGTTTTGATATCAGGGTAATGGTGGCCTAACAGAGTGAATCTGGGGGTGTTCCATCCTCTTCAATTTTTTTGGAATAGTTTGAGAAGGACAGGTACTAGTTCTTCTTTATGTGTTTGATAGAATTCCCCTGTGAAGCTTTTCAGTCCTGGACTTTGCTGGGAGTTTTTTTATGACAAATTCAATTTTACTACTAGTGATCAGGCTGTTCAAATTATCTGTTTCTTCTTGATTCTGTCTTGGTAGATTGTATCTTTCTAGAAATTTGTCCACTTAGAGGACTCAGTGTTGTTAATGTCAGTTATTTTCAGATTGATGTATGGCTTCAGTGCAATCCAGTCCAAATTTCAGTAGAAAATTTCTCTTTTAGCAGAAATTGACTAGCTGACTATAAAGTTTATAAGGAAATACAGAAGACCTAGAGTAGTCAAAATTTTTTGAAAAAGAACAAAATTGGGGAACTTACACTACTTGATTTCAAGATTTTCTGTAAAGTTACGATAATTAAGACCAGTGTGGCACTGACAGAAGGACAGACGTACAGATAAATGGAACAGGTGGAGTCCAGGATCAGAATCATGCGCATGTGGTCGTCCATTGACGTTGGACAAACGACAAGGCAATTCAGTGGAGAAGGGCAGTGTTTTCAATGAATGGTGCCGGAACAACTGAATGGAAATATGGGGAAAATATGGAACTGATCTTTGTGTCACACCAGTCACAGTAATTAATTCAGAATGGATCATAGGTGTTAACTTAAGAGCTGAAACTGTAACACCTCCGGAAGAAACATAGGAGAGAAAATATTTGTGATTTTAAGGGAAAGATTTCCTACAATGATAAGAAGACATCATGAAAATAAATAATGAAAATTAAAATATAAGAAAAACTGGATTGGACTTCACCTAATTTAAAAACTCCAGCTCTTTGAGGGGAAAAAACTTTAAGAAAAAAATGGTGCACCCACAAACCAGGAGAAAAATATAAATTTCTATAATAGCAACTCAAGAAAAAGACAAACAGCCTATTTTTTTTAATGGACAAAATATTTAAACAGATCTTTGCAAAGGAAGATATATAGACAGAAAAAAAAAAAGAAGAAAGCACACAACAAGATGCCTAAATCAGTCTTGAAAGAAATGCAAATTAAAACCACAGAGAAGATACTACTAAACACCTATTAAAATGACCAAAAAAATTTTTTTAACCAAATACCGGGTACTGGCAAGTATACGGAGCAACTAGAACCGTCATACACTGGTGGTGGGGATGTCAGATGGTACCAGAGGTTTGAGAGTCACTTTAGTGATTTCTTATAAGGATTTCTCATAAAGGCACACTTACTATATGACCAGAGGAACGAGCCAGGTTGAGGACCGTGCTGCAGACCCCGATCTGTTAGGAGTGGCTGGAGAGCCTGGGGTGGTTCAGCCTGAACCCAAAGCCTCAAGGAGGCTCACCCACTGCCCCCGTCTCTGCAGAGCTGTCCCAGGGCCTGAGACCACAGGAGAGAAGTCAGACAGTTTCCAGCACCTTTCCACTGAAATAAGATGGAGTTCTCAGGCTAAAGCCCAAAACACACTCAGAAATCTCCCCCTTCATCCAAAGACCAGTGGGGCCGACATGGAGCCTGCAAGGTGTCTGCTCCACGAGGTGTGAACATCCACTGAGAGCAATTCTGGTTTTTGCCCACATGGCAGACTGGCGTGGACTGCTGTCCCCTTCCCTGCCAACCAACCTGGGAGAACTGCGGAAGCAAGAGAAAAGCGTGGGTTCCAAGAACTAAGTCCTTCGAGAAAACCCCAGAAGGCTAGACATGTCCTGAGGTGGCGAACGTGGGTGACTGGGTGGCGGCAGCCTGAGGACTGGGGGTGGAGGTGGCAGTGGAGGATGGCGTGGCATCCGCTCAGCTCTGTCCCGCGTCTCTGCGGTGTAGCTGGGACAGCCCTCACCTGCCTCTTCACTGCAGCCACAGCGGCAACGGACCAGGCCGCTGGCACCGGCGCAGGGGTGGTATTGCGGGAGTGTAGAGGCCTCTTCCGTTAAGATGCTGATGAAAGCAGATGCTAACTGACCAGGGGCCAGATTCTGACTCACCAGGTGCCTTTGGCCACTCACACCTTCACCTGCTCCCTCTAGGCTTTGGATCACAGGCAAGGGAGGCCCCCTTAGATGGTGGGTGCTGCTTCTCCCACCCCCCCGAGGATTTTACAGTCGTACTTTATCCAAAGGATTTATCTGGTGAGTGATGATGAAGTTCCGTGGTGTGAGGGGCTCACCCCTCACAACTCTGACGTAAACGGGACCTGGCCTTTCATTCTTCCCTAAAACACACCAACAGAGGAGTCGACATGATCAAGGAAATATGAGCTCAAAGGCTAAGATAACTAAACATCGGAGGAATCATTCACTGCAAAAGAAGGTGAGAAATTGGACAGAAATGCCATTTGAAGAACTGTTGGTAAGACCAGAAAAAAAAAAAGCAGAGTCAATATAGCTCAGTAGATAAGGAAATATATTAGCAATGTGAATCAAGTGAAAGAAATCACAAAAAAGAACAAGTGGAAACTCTGGGTTTAAAAAGTATGATAGTTAAAGTAAAGAACATCACACCTGTAAGATGAAAGCTAGAGAACCAACTGGCAGGTTGGAACATCAGACCGAGGACCTCCCAGGAAAGCGCCAGGAAGGGCTGACAGTACGTACAACAGAAGAGAAAAAACACCCAGAAGATGTGGATGAAGGAAAGGGAAGTGCCCAAACCCCGATTATAAGAGAAAATGAAGGGCAGAAAATGAAAGTTGAGAAGAGGAACCATTTGAAGAAATAATGAAGATTAATATATCATCTTTAAGGAAAATGAAAGACTTCAGAATGGAAGACATCAGAGTACCAAACAGAAGAGACGAGGAAAGCCCCCCACACGGCGCATCAGAGTGGAATCTGAGCAAACGGAACAGAAAATTCTACAAGATACCAGGCAGAGAGAGAAGACCACAAAGAAAGAGACCGACATCAGGCTTTCCACAGCGACACCAGATGCGAGAACGAAGTGATTTTTTTGAAGAATGAAAGGCAAAGTGCCTACAAGGGCAGGGGTGGAGGAGCTAAGGCGACAGGCCTGTGAGGAAGCATTTGGCTTGTTAGGAGGCAGAGAGGTACGGATAAGGCAGGAATTCGCAGGAGACTCAGAGGAAGAAGTCAGAGTAGGTGAACCTGTCTCCGCACTGGACCGTAACTGCCCTGGGCCTGACAGCTTCCATGGTGAATTCTACCACACGTTTAGGACATAAGTTGTTCTCGAACTGTTCCTCTTTTATAGGGGCCCTAATCTCATGGGGCCTCCACCCTCATGACCCCATCTAAA